AGTATAATATTAAATTCTGAAATTTAAAAAAAAAGTATAATATTAATTTCATTATTAAAAATTTAATTATTCTTTAAAAATATATTTAATTTAAATATAATTTTATTTTTCAATTTCTGAAAATTAAAATATTTTTCAAAATTTTAAAAATCAGAAAACTGGAAAATGCAAAAAAAAAAGAAAAAGAAAAAAAAAGACCATGGGAAATCGGTTGCTGAATAATTGAATAATTGATTTCTTAATGGGCTTTTGAAAAAAAAAATTAAAAACCCAATTAAGAAATTGGTTACCCAATAACAGATTTCTCACCTGGACTTAAAAATTGGTCATTTTGGTAAATGAAAGAGAGCCCTAGTTATTCAAATAAAAAATAATAATATATTAAAAAAAAGTCCTTTTTCTTCTCTTTGCTCTCTGTTGCTATGAAGCGTTTTCACATTTTATAAGCATGTAGGGGATGTATTGGATTAGGATTTTAAAAGACTTTTTTAATTAAAAAAAATCCTACGGATTTTAAAAGACTTTGCAGGATTTTCATGACTTTTAAGATTTTGTAGGATTCTACAAGACTTAAAATCAGGATTTTAATGAATTCTGCAAGACTTTTAAATCAAGATTTTAATGAATTCTGTGGGATTTTGTAGAATTTTCGTGGGTTTTTGACATTTGATAAGATTTCAAAAAAAATTCATACATTCAAATTTAAAAAGAGTCAAAGGCAAAATAATAAAAAATAACAATATCTAGAAAAATAATAATAATAATAATAATTCTCCATAATATCCTATCCTCTTAAATAACATTCACCCACATATTCATAGCTATACTAATCCTCCAAGCATTAGCATCTTCTAGCTCTTGCTCCTGGGTTTGAATAATAGGCTCAAAAGTATGATCTTCATTAACTAGTAATGTTAAAGATGAAAGTTCATTCACCACTTCAATTGGAAATTCATCAGAACGACATTTTTTATGTAGGAAAGTTATGTAATGCTGCACATACTAACACAAGTTCTACTTGTGTCTTAAATAAAAATGAAGGTGATGAATTAAAAATTGTGAACCTTAATTTAAAAATACCAAATATTCTCTCGATCACATTCCTTAAAGACGCATGATGAAGATTGAACAATTCTTTGTCATTTTCAGGGTCATTACCCTGACCTGCAAAATCTTGTAGGTGATATTTTAACAATATTTTTTTTTAAAATAAGTTAATGAAGGCATAAACCCTAAACCCTAAAAATTTAGATATTACAATGTCTTATGTTAATTATTATTTTTTTAAAATATAAAAAAATTCTAATTTCACAATATAAAAATAAAAAGAAAAATTCATAGTAAAAAAAAAATCGTTGAGTCATGAAAGGAGGAGGGATAAGAATAACAAACTCAAGGGGAGGAGAGAGATTGCAGCTTTTATGCTGAGAAAGTTCTTTCCCCAACTAAGATTCATTTTCATCTCATTCTACTCACAGAAACCCTAACTCAAATTCATTTTATATATATTGTAGAGATCATGATATCAATTTCATCTTTCACCTTTTCCTTTTCTTGACGTGTGTTATAAAAAAAATTACCACTTAAAAGTTGAAATTTCAAGCATTTTTTTTATGTTATATAAAGGAAAAAATTAAACTAAATAGAACAAGTCAATTAAAGAGAACGAATAGAAAAATAGAGCAAGTTAATGACACTATCATTTACATATCAGAGTTTCACAGAATAAGAGAATGGAATGAGAACATTACTACAATATTATATACGAGCAATGAACAATAATGCAGTATTATTAGCAAAGAAAACATGGAGAAGATAAGAGCATAGAAAAAAAAAAGATGAAAAACTCACTTGAAAATTCTTGAAACACTTAAAAAGTCATTTCAAACAATCCTTCAAAATCCGATGGGTTTGGATGGGATTGTTTTATGAATTTGGTATTTATAGATAGCACTAGAAAGTCCTTTAAAATCTCTCTCAGACAACAATCATTTAAAATCTTTATATTTTTGAATACCAATAGATTATTTTTAAGTTGTAAAAAATCTCAAGTGAATACCAATTTATTTTAATTGATTCTTTAAAAAATCTTTAAAATCCAAATTGAATACCACTGGATTGTTTTTAAGTGACATAAAATCCTGATTGAATACCAATGGACTTTTTTACTCAAAAAAAGTCTTTTAAAATCGTACGAAATCCTAAACTAATACACCCCGCGTAAAGTAATGTAAAAAAAATGGAGTTGAATATACATTTTTTTCTCCTGAAAGTTATGCTCTTATATGGCTTTCCTCGCAGTTTCATCCTTGTGAACAAATATCACAAATTTTATTCATAAAATACCAATCCCCATTTACAAGAGACAAATTCTGAGGGACTGCTATTACTATTTGCTGTAGTGAATCATTTAGACCTCCTTTTCTTTTATTCACAAAGAATTTAGCATAGTAATGACACCAAACTATGACTATGCAGCTTCTGCAAATCCTATTCGGAGATTGTCATAATCAAACACTGTATGATATGCCCCCAAGAAAATAGTTCCAAGAACCCTGCACACATACCACTACTGTCATATACTATATTAGATAGAGGTGGAAGAGAGAGAAGCATGCATCCGGCTCATTTCTGCAGTGATTACAGAGCATACATAATTTACATTTTATAAAAGAAAGACATTAAAGCATGATTAGTAAGCTTTACCAGAAGGGACCTTGCGGGGGAGGCACATCTATAGCAACAAAACCACCATAGCAGACAGTAGAGCAGCCTTCTTCAACTCGAAGAATATACTGAGAAGGACAAGGGGGAGATTAAATGTCTGAAAGCATATGAAATGGTAATCATGGATTGCAACAAACAATAGCAGCTTTTTTTTTATGTTTACTTGTTAAACATTTTTAATGTAAAGGGATAGAAGAAAATATGAGAAGTTGGAGAGACCCAAATAAATTTGAGGTAGGTGTTAGATACAGAGAAGTGTTAACAACACTCTCTAACACACTCTTTTTAACATTCATTCTATTATTTGTTAAAGTTTATTAAAAATACAAAATTAGGAAAAAGAATGTGTTTCAGACATTTCTCTTCAGATATAAATACATTATGCATGATCACTATTGTAGTGCTAATACACTGGTGTATAAACAACAGAGAATTCATATTAAACAACAGACCTGTTCTGGAGAGATGGAAAAGGATTTGTTTCCAATCGTGAATGTAATGTGTGGCATAGTTGCAATACTATTGCAGTTTATAAATGATTGTCCGGGGGGATTTGGCAGCTTCTCACACAGCTTTTACAGAAGGAAATTGAGACAGAAAAAATTTCAATGTATAATTGGAAACATATTTGAGGTTTATCTAACCATTGTAAGTTTGTAACAACTACCTCATCCACATATTTTAATACTTTTTCCTTTACATTGCTTTGCTTAAGCTGAACTTGGATCCAAAGGACAATCATATTGCAAAAAGTACACAAGGGACTCTCCCTTGTTCGTGATCCTTTCCAACTTTGATTATGTACCACTGTTTCAATAACATCACTGCAGGTTAAAGTTAGACTTCTGTTAAGCGAAACAAAGGAGTGTGTCTCTAAAGAATCAAGATTAGGAAAATTGAAAGCTGTACTCTATTGTATAAAATTCATCCAGTGAACAGAGTCCAATGTCAATGCATAAAATGTCAGGATTTAACTGCAGAAATGAGACATAAGGCATAAGAAAGTATGTAAAGGATGGTTAAAATTTGAATGAAGCTGTAGATAATTATTGAAAGTATAAGTGTAGAATTACAAATAGAACAAACCCCGGAAATCAAGGATTCCCATATTGAATCCCCATAGTTATGGACAATGTTTTTACACTCAAAACTAACATATCCTTCTGCTCCAATGGCATGGTTAATTTGAGTCACAACACTCTGCAAACATGAACTAGTAAGAAAAATATGCCGAAGAAAAAGGGAACAAAAACAATGTAACAAGACAGGAGTATAATTTTTGAGGTCATACAGTTGGACCAGCAATTAAAGATGTCCCTGAGTCCACTATTGCAGTACAGCCACTCTCACATAACCCTGCAAATTCCTTTCCATTATTTTTTTTTTAAGAGTTGGTTCAAAGGTAATTAAGTAAAGTACCAAGCATGAAAATAGTGCATGTCAGCAATCAAAAAAGTTATGCAGAGAAAAATGAATCAAGGGGACCAGTTGAATAGAAAATCAAAATGCTGATGCACAAAACCTTTTAGTTCTATACAATGGCTGTGGAAATATAAATGTCATTTCTGGAAACTCTAACAATATGTAGCCTTTTAGTATAATGCATGTCTAACAAGTTTAATATTTTTATACAAAGTATTCATTCACAGCTATAAGAAACAAGGCAAAAATGTTGCAAGCTTAAGCATTGACAAATAGAAATGTAAGAAGACCTGTTGAGTTATTTGCAAGTAGAATATCTCCCACATCAATCTGAAGGTGCAAACACCAAAGTTAATAATGCCATGGTTGATGATAATAGCAATGGATGAAGTTCTAAATATAATTTACCAGCCAATAACCCTTTTGAGAAAGAGGAACATATGTGTGGTCACCTCTAAAATGCCTGTAGTCAATACCACCAAAGACAATCTCACCCCCCATCTCTTCTGTTGGGTCTTGATTTAGCCAAAGAGAGAAAATTTTGTGACATATGTGCCCTTGTTCTATCATATTATACCTGTAGTTACAAAACTAATCATTGCATATATGAGGCATCAAAAACTTTAGAAAAGAAGGAAGTTTGATTATCCTTCTACCCTATGACCCCAAAAATACAATCACACTATTGGCACTAATATTGCAATCTTATTCTAAATTATAGTGGAGGAAAGAATAAACAACATAAACAGATAAATAAATTGTTGGGATACAAACAAGTCCCACATCGATAAAATAACACAACAAATAACAACTTATATAATACAAACATACTTCAATGATCAAAAGGCCTTTTGGGTAATGACCAAAAGCAAAACCGTGAGGGCTAAGAGCATCTCCAATGGGGGTTGAGCAACCCCCTGTGCCACATCACTGCCAAATCAGCTCTGGCCCACTTTATGGGTTTAGGGTTTAAGGTTTTTAGGGTGGGCCAGAGCTGATTTGGCAGTGATGTGAGACAGAAGCACTCTGCTAAAATTTAAGCAACCCATAAAGTGGGTTGGCCCAAAGCGGACAATATCTCATCATTGTAGAATATGTTTGTGTAATAACCCTATAAAATAACCTTCATCATTGTGAAGTATGTTTGTGTAATAATCCTATAAAATAACCCTCATAAAATATCCTCTCAGACAAGTACCAATAACCCTCACATCAATGGTATCAGAGCCGCAGGTCCCTTGTTTGAGAGGAGGATTGTTGGGATACAAACAAGTCTCACATCTATAAAATAACACAACAAATAACATTTATATAATACAAACATACTTCAATGATTGAGAGACATTTTGGGTAAGACCAAAAGCAAAACCGTGCGCGCTAAGGCCCAAACCGGACAATATCTCATCATTGTGGAATATGTTTGTGTAATAACCTTATAAAAATAACCCTCATAATATATCCCCTCAGACAAATACCACGTAAAATAACTCATCATAAATTAATACAGTTCTTGAGTGTACCACACTGGTGTGACTTTTCCAACTGAAGTATCCTGAAATCCGAGTCCAAGTATGCCATCAAATGGAAGCGCTGAAAGTGCCAAAGATCCTTCCCTAGTAATCTCAGCAAATTCCTAGAGGGTGTGAAGTAACCATCCATCAGCACAAGCAAAGAGGCTTATAAATCTCAATCATAATTCTTACTGAAAACTAACACAGATCAAAATACTAACTTGATCTTTGATGATGATATCCCCAACTTGTACATTATCTTGGCTGAAGAATCCATAAATAGATCCTTGGCCATAAGGAATTTTGCAAGGTGTTCCTGCATAATGTCCCAAACGCAACTTTTAAGTATGTACATTTTAATAAACATATTTCTGCTTCTCCATATAAAAAACAAAAGGAAACACCTAAAAAGGAAAGCAATTTATCAAATTTTTCAATCATGTCATGTTAATCCAAAGTTACCAATTTCGGTATAGGTGCTAGATATCTTCGACCTATACTTGGCATGAAAATAGCAAGCGATCTGCATGTGTCACACGTGTTTTCAAAACATGCTCATTCGAAAAAAGGCAAAGATCAAGTCACTATTCAAATGAATCAGGATCAGACCATTGGGTAACTTACCGAGAAGATGCATTTGGAAGATGGGACCCAAAGATTTGAGCTTCCAGTGTCAAACACAACATTGAAGTATTGAGGAGGTGAACCAATACTAATCTCCCCAAAAAATTGTGCCCCAAAATAATTCTTAAGATATACTATATCTTCATCACAACAAGTTTCATTAACACCCCTTAAATCCCTGTGATGAACGGCCTCTTTGATTCTTGCAGCTTTAAGACCCTGAAGGTCTAAATTCCTCCTTTTTAGACCAACCCTCATTAACCCATCACTAGAAGTTGCAAAAGTCAATGATCCAAACCAAGCCAAAACACACACAATAACAATAGCCACCAGCAGAGATACTTGAAACCCATACCTACAAGTCATCTGGTTCAACATGTTTGAGAAAGTTCAGCAGATTGATTACAAATAATCACACCCTTTTTACAGTTTTCAGTTCTGCTAACAATTTCAATAGTATGATTAAAGAATACAGCAGAATGTTTAAACGCTCAAGTTCATTTAAATGCCTAGTGCCAGAAGCAAAAACATAAAGAAGATCAAGGTTCAAAGAGTGAAGTTAAGGAAATATTAAAAGCCTAAGATCAACGGTAATAACTGATGCTAAAAAACTTGAAAAATTCACACCTGATGCAAAGGTGTTTGAAGGAGATACCTCCACAGTATATAACATGCCCTTCATATATAAAACTAAACCATGCAAATTTTTACACCTTATACCTACTGGGTATGAAGTTTGAAACAAAAAAATCAAAGTTTACCCTTTAATTTCAAGTTTAAATGTTTTTTTTATGCTGAAAAGAAACAATTTAACCTTACATGGAAACTACTGCGTAGTTTCGCTTAGAATAATGCTAATTTCTGCACTGTAATAAAAGTGGATGAAACTTGAGCGGTTTGCGGCATAGGATGCAACACGTGCGTTACGGCTTATTATATTGGTATATTCCTAGAATCCACAAGACGTTTTAAATTTAAACTCCTCTGCGTGCTTCCACGCTATATTATTCAAACTCAATAATTTTGTAATATAATAAATGTAAAACGTGTAATGCATGGATATTTTTATAACAAGGTTAAATTAATATGATTTAAGCTTAAATATTCCTTTTATTCACAAATAATTTTGCCATTTCCATCATAGAATTTTAATAAAACTTGAATAGAGTAGTTTCCGTTTTTAAGCAGTGTGATTGTTCATTTTTAAGTCTATTATATTAAAATTTAATAATTACTCTGGTTATGCAACATTAATAAATGACCTTGAAAAATAATACATGGTGACATACATTAGGGAATACTTCATACCTTAAATAGGGTATATATTTTAATTTTTTTAAAGTTTGATCTGAGCTATTTTATAAAAATGTCAAATTTAAACTTTTAAAAATACTTATTTACATAAAAAAAAATTAGATTCAATCTAATAGGTCAATTTATTTATTTATATAATATAATAAAAAAATTAATATATATATATTATTAAAAGTATAAATAAAAAAATTTATAAAAAAATTTATCAATATTTAAAATATTTTTTTATAGAATTGTATTTTTTTATTATAGATTTATAAGTTTACAATTTGTGTGAATATACATTAACTTATGCATGAATTGTCCTTTCAACAAAAAAATGATTCACTTTTTTCTCTATATTTTTTTAATTTAATTTTTAATAATATTAAATAAACTATATTTTAAAAATAAATTTGTTAACTTTTAAAATTAAATTTATTAAATTTATTAACATTATTAATATAAATAGACTTTTAAATAGGTTAATAGATTAAGTCAGACTTTAAAAAGATTATATCAGACTTATAAAAAAAAATTTATGATAAATAATAAATCAAGATTAGACTTTAATTTTGTAAAACATGATTCAGTATATATTCAAAATCTAACCTAATCTAACTTATTCTCTAACATATAATATTGACAGCGGTGACTTGTCAAACAATTTAATATGTTTATTATGCAATAAAAAAATGCTAAAATTATATTATTAATTTTATTTTTTGAAATATGTTTTTGTTTATTATATGAAATGAATAATTATATTAATTAATAATAGTAAAAATATAAATAGAAATATAATATTAGTGTGTTTATTATTTAATATTTTTTTGTGTTATAAATAATATAAATATTATAATATTAAAATAATTAAATAAATAAGCTAGCCGTGAAACAGGCAACTTGTACAATCTCAAGGCCCTTACTCTTTGATCTTTCTTTAGCCTTGAGATTCAGCTACAAAAGCCTCAAAAAATAATTACTTGTTCTCCATTTAACATTATAATACTCAAGAGTGTTTTCAACCAAACCCAATGATGTCATGTGATCTATGTAGCTGATTTCATTTAGTATGATGATAGTTTTGTTCTTCACATATATAATATCAATTTTTCAAAAGGGAATTCTTAATGAATAAATTCAAGATTGAGCTAAATATTTTAAGAAATATAGCCACAATGACCTAAATTTAGGAGTTGTAGTCGCTTTTAAGATTTGATCACATTATCTTCATCGAGTTGAGTTGAATGATTATAAAGATTGTAACAACCCAATTTTTACTGGGCCAAGAGCCTAATTAAGGTGGTTTAGTAGCCCGGAACAGGCCGTTCCAAAATTAGAATGGGTCGTTCCAAAACTGGAACGGACCGTTCCAAATTACTAAATAGACCTACTTTTGGTAGCTAGGAACGGACCGTTCCGGATTTGGAACGGGTCGTTCCAAACTATTAAATTTGCCTATGATTCTTAGTTGGGAACGGGCCGTTCTTAACTGGAACGGGTCGTTCCCAACTGGAACGGGTCGTTCCCAACTGGAACGAGCCGTTCCGGATTTCAGAAATGACCTTTGAACCTTATTAAGAACGGGCCATTATGGTTTTAGAACGGACCGTTCCAAAATATGACCGTTGTAAGTATTAAATGCACCTCAGAACGGGCCGTTCTGGTTTGAGAACGGGCTGTTATAGATGTAATTTTTACTCGTGATTTAAGGGTCCAGAACGGGCCGTTCCGGAGACACCTGATGCCTATAAATTAAGTGTTCTGGCACTCCCAAAATCATATTTTTCAGTTTTGACTTCTTTCAGTTCTAACTTCTTTCTTCTACATTCTTTTCTTTTCCTTCTACACTCTCTGAAGGTCGAGGGGCACTCAGAGGAGGAGACCTAGAAGATCTCTATTTTAGTTTCAGCTATTGTTTATCCAAGTACGGGGGAAAAGGGGATTATTTGTAAGCAAAGTTACATGAGAGAATTGGGTAGAAGAGGAAGCTCGTAGGATTATGAGTAATTTTATAATTATTTCTGTTTAGAGAATTATTGGTCTTATGTGATTCTGTATGAATTTAGGATTATGAATATATAATTTATAAGCATGATGATTTGGGAGAGATAACGAAATTATAGAAAAGTGTCTGTAAGTTAGGTTGTGAAAAATTGGATTATTTCTGTTTGAGGAATTGACGATCCCATTAGATTCTGTATGTGTTAGGGATTAGAAATATGTATTTAATTTGTAAAAATGATGATTTGAGATAGAGAACGAAATTATAGAAAAGTGTCTGTGAGTTAGGTTTTGGAAAATTGGGAGTTTTACTATTAATTTAATATTGTATTAAATTGATGATACAATTGAGTGTTATAATAATTTATAAATGTTATTGCTATATTATATGGTAAAAATTGGACGATTTAGATGTGAATTACTTGAGGGGTGTGTAAACCCTTATTTTGTTGGACTTATCTATTGTGTATATGGAATTGTGTATGTGATATGGAATTGAGTTATGAGATGAGAAGTTGCATGGATGTGATTATGATTGTGATTGTGGTTCCTCACATCAATGACCAGGGATGGCACGGCCCCTGGGTAAGTGATGCTACAGGGAGGGCGTGACCCTGACATGGTGTGGGATGAGTGAGACAATTAACACGTATCACTTATGTCAGATGTGACGTGGCCTTGGCATAGTGTTAATTGTAAGATTTGTGATGATTATGATTGTGATGTGATTGTGGTTCCTCACATTATGACCAGGGGTGGCACGACCTTAGGTAAGAAATGCTACAAGCGTGACCTTGGCATAGTATGGGATGGGTGATTCCTCATGCTTATGTCGGGGGTGGCACGACCTTGGGCAAGAGATGCTATATGCGTGACCTTGGCATAGTGTAGGATGTGTGATTTCTCATGCTTATGTCGGGGGTGGCACGATTTTGGGCAAGAGATACTACAGGCGTGACCTTGACATAGGGTGGGATGTGTGAGACAATTAATACTTATGTCGGGGGCGGCACGACCTTAGGCAAGAGATGCTACAGGTGTGACCTTGGCATAGGGTTGATTGCAAGATTTGTGATGATTGGTGTGATTGCGAATTGTGATGTGATGATGATAATGCACGATTGATAGAGTTATGATATATTGAAATGTTTATGAATATTTTATTAAGTATCGAGTTATAATGAGATGACATGTTGTGTGTTTGTATGTGCTTTACATATAGATGTTTTCTTTTCTCACCGTACAATTTGTGGATGTTTTAGGTGAGGAAGATCTGACTATGAGTGACATCTTGAATGCCAACAATTGAATTATGAGTTTGCTATGATATTGTGACATCGGGGCAGAGGATTTAGAGGACATGAATTTTATTTGCATATGGAGTTGTACTTATTATTTTGAAAACATTTTGTAATCTCTTATGTTTTATTTTTCAAGTTTCATTTTCAAATTATTTTGGATATTGAAGAATGTTTCTAAAGGTTTTTACGTGAACCCTTTTACCGATGTTAAAAAGATTATTTCCTTAGTTTGTTTACATTATTATAATATATGTATTGGGGTAGTAAGAGTGTTACAGAAATCATAAAATTGTACAATATTTAAGCAAAAAAATTAAACACGAGGAAGAGGCGTTTGACTTATAAGTAACATCCTTAAGTCATGATTGAACATGATTCAATCATGTTGATAGGTTTTCTATACAAACTCTTGGAAAGTTGTTATAAGCATATTTGATTGGATTATTGTTAGAAAATTACGTTTAATTTAATTTAATTTTTCAAATTAATTTTAAAATAAAAGTAATAGATTTTAGCTTGTGATTCAATTGAGATTTATTTATAATTTACACTCAACAGAATAAAAAAAAAATTATCAAATAAATAATAACTATATTTGAAACCAACTAATTAAGATTATAAGTTTTAAACATATGATCAATCACAGTCTTTTTCTTAAATTTTTCATGCAGTTGTCGTGTCCATTTATCATTACTAGAATTTTTTTTATTCCAGTATAATGTATAGACATATCCCCTATAAAACTCTGTATTGAAGAAAATGTAGAGTGCTTCTATATGTTAGTTTGATACAACAAAGTAATATTTATTAGGACTTGAAATTGTTTCATAAACTACAAACAGAATACGAAATGGATTTGTTGGACTCGATTTAATTTGTATCCATTTCATGGTGAACATCTTGTTTATGGTATCTTTATAAATTGAGGTACTTTATAACAATCTTAGATTAATAAAAAATGTAAGTAGTTGTCACGTGTTTTTGTTATCTAAGAATATAATATTAAAAAAAATTCAAGTTTCGCATCGACTAGAGATTAGACAATTGAATAGTATATAAATGGAAAACAACTCTCACCTTACAAATCGATTTTGTAGGATTGAGTTAGGCTTAAATCTACTATTCTAAAATAGTATTAGATCTATCCTAGATTCTTAAAA